GAATTCAACGCGTGGTAATTCAACGCGTGGGAATTCAACGCGTGGGAATTCAACGCGTGGAAATTCAACGCGTGGAAATCTAACGCGTGGAAATTCAACGCGTAGCAATTTTATATATTTGGAATCTGAGAATATTTGAAATCTAATATTGGGATCTAGGAATCTATAATATACTTCAAGATTCTGGGATATCTGAGACATTACAGATATTTAGGATCTAGGGATATTGGGAGGGACTTTAAAGACATTTGAGACGTAGAAACCTAGAAAACTAAGATTATAAAAAACCAGAACTTCCTTCACATCATTATTAACTTATCCCTAGTAATCGGCAATATAACGAGAGTGTGCTATATCATACACCAGTAAACCGTTACGATAACACGTTGTACATATAAATTGAATTCCTACATAAATTAATCAATCTATAAAAATACATTTTAGCTTAAATAATCATTCAAAGCGTACAATAAGACAGACGCCATATTTTCCAAACGTCACAATTTCCACGAAACCCTCTAACAAATGAAAAGACATTTATTTCAAGCACACTGACCATTCGTTGTTTTTATTTGAATATTCGATACTTATTACTGGTATACGTGTATGCATTAATTATAATTGCTGCTTCGTTTTCAGTGTGAATTTTGATTTGACAGAATGCGCATCCAATGATATCGTTCTTGTTTGGAATTTATGTGAACTGATTCGGTGTCGACTAACCACGGCCTAACATTTTCTCTCACATCGTCGTGTGATAGTTGAAAGTTAAAAATAACAATTCACTAGGATATTTGAATCATGCAGAATGACACGATGTACCCAAGCACGCCTAGTGTGAACAGTTTTTATATCTTTTATTTTTATTTACGGAGAGAAAGCACATTATGTCGTTCTATTATCATCACTTCTAATTATAAGAATTCTTTGTTGTAATCATCTTTTATTTTTGTACCAGGATATCAATATTCGATAAATTATCAAGAAAGTTTCTTTTTTTTTTGATATAATTTTTTTACATTTATCCCGAAGAATTCGTACAGATATTTTTATTGACAATTTAAAAAGTTTATTAATTCTGAAAGCTGGAAATATATTTCTATTTACGACCCGTAATTTTATTTTCAAAATTCGAGGTTTATACACGTGATCGTAGTCAAGCGTGAAAATATCGTTTAAAAAAGTAGAACAGTGTGAAGTACGTCAATCAAAAGTGGAGCAAAACAATTTGCTCGATGTGCAAATTTTATCTGTCCACCTTTTTTTACCGGATAGCGATCAATCGATTATCATCCGGTTTAGTCACGTGTTTCCTTCCGTGTCAGCAAAATGTTTGCCAGAATTCAGATTTGGCACAAACATGCAACGAATAAATGTTTCCTCGAGCCAGCTCGTGTAAGAAAACTTCTCGTGAAAACATTTCCTTTTTTCGGGGGCATCTTAGTATGACGCAATGGTGTGTGTGGAAAACATGCAGAATTATTTGAAGGATTATGAAATTTTATAACTGTGCAGGGGATGTTCTTTTAGGGAAAAATGATCGTAGAATCAGGACATTCTTTGCATATTCACGAAGTTTCATAATTTGTTTCCTACTTCGAGGTCTTCCACATGTTTCCTCGTATTGTTTTTTGCTTTTATGAAACTTACGGGACAGTCTGTTGTTTAGAAATCTGAATAATTATGAGAGAAAAATTGAATTTATTGTACGGAGTAATAGTTGCAAATTTTGGTTATACAGGGTGACAAGATTTAATATAGGTTGTCTCATAAGTGGTGTAGGTATCTGAAATGGGGGGTAGCTGACTTGATTCTGAATGAGATTTCCCTTTGCAAAAATGGGGTTTGAAGGCTCGTTTTTGAATTATTAAGAAGGGCATCGACTTATCAGAGAGCGAGGATTACGCAAGCGCTCTAATTCGTGGGAATTCAATGCTAACGAATTCAACGCGTGGAGATCAAACGCGTTGAAATTCAATGCGTGGGAACTCAACGCGTGGGAATTCAACGCATGGGAATTCAACGCGTGAAGGTCTAACGCGTGAGAATTCAACGCGTGGAAATTCAACGCGTGAGAATTCAACGCGAGGAGATCTAACCCGTGGAAATTCAAAGCATGAGAATTCAACGCGTGAGAATTCAACGCGTGGGAATTCAACGCGTGGGAATTCAACGCGTGGAAATTCAATGCGTGGGAATTCAACGCGTGAGAATTCAACGCGTGGGAATTCAATGCGTGAAGATCTAACGCGTGGAAATTCAACGCATGGGAATTCAACGTGTGAGAATTCAACGCGTGGTAATTCAACGCGTGGTAATTCAACGCGTGGTAATTCAACGCGTGGAAATTCAACGCATGGAAATTCAACGCGTAGAGATCTAACACGTGGAAATCCAACGCGTGGAAATTCAACGCATAGGAATTCAACGCGTGGAAATCCAATGCGTGGAAATCGAACGCGTAGAAATTCACCGCGTGGGAATTTGCGAATTAAATTTTAATATTCCTAAATTTCCAAATATTCAAATAATTAAACATAAAAAGTAAATTTGAAAATTGTCACCCTGTTAATTACAAACAAACGAGGTCAAGTACACGAATCAATTGCAATACTAATCCTCTCATAATCCGATTCCGCACACATAATTGGCTACTACTCCCCCGTTCTTAATTACCGGACTGAAAATGAATTTGTGGATTGTCCGAAATCGAGACAAGTGTTCACAAATGGGATCGTTATACATTTCAAAGACAGTGAAGACATCGAATATTTTTTTCACAGTAAATGGGTTTCGTCCAAATGCTTTTGTCTGGAAATTGATCGATTTAATTAAACGAAATTCGCCAAATCACTGCGGTCCTGGAATGCTTGCTTTTAAACGGTGCTTTTATTTGTTTTTTTTTTACAAAGGATACACAGGGCACAGAAATCTGAACAAGCATATCAATATTTTATGATTAATGAAAAATATGAG